GACCATTACTAACAACGTCCACATAAGACCAGGCATGTTTTCAGCACTCAGAATAAACACACTACGTATAACAATCGGTCAATAAAATGAGTCCCACCTGCTCCACAGCATCACCCAGCCTCATGATGTGTGCAGACTGTCCGCTGGTCTGAGCCTTGGAGGAGAACAACAGGATGTCCAGGTCGGCCACGTTGGAGAACTTAGGGTGGATCTTCTCGTTCGGGTCCACAAAGTGCTCGATCTCAGCCATAGTGAACTCTCTGCAAGCAGGAGAAGTTTACATCTCATTGTGTAGTCGTTATAATTTGCAGTTGAGCCATGAAGGAGTTTCAGACTATACCTGACGCGAATCAGTCCAGAGCGAGGGGAGATCTCGTTCCTGAAGGAGTTTCCAATCTGAGCGGCAGCAAAGGGAAGCTTTCCCTGGTTAAACTCCAGCAAGCGTTTGAAGTTTAGGAACATTCCCTGAGCGGTTTCAGGCCTCAGATAGCTGCAAAGTTACACAATTAGTTGGCTGCGAGTTAAATAACGGCGAATGTTTATTTCACTTGAGACAGATGATGTGTTTCACTGATCAGTACCCGGGCGTGTTCCCCCCCGGTCCGATGGACGTCTGAAACATCAGGTTGAAGGAGACGGGAGGCGTGAGGTCGTTTCCTGTGGTGGGAGACTTGACGTTGTATTTCATGAAGAGGTCCGTCAGCTCCTGCTGGGTGTAGTTGTCCATCTAGAAGAGAAAGCAAACAATTATAGGGTTGTTTTCCCAACCAGCATATGTCAGTATATCCTGTGTGTGTGTGTGTGTGTGTGTGTGTGTGTGTGTGTATAGAAGACGGGTTTGTTAAGAACCCACCTGAGTGATTACGTCCTCCATCTCGGTCACTTTCTCTGCAGAGTATTTCTCATCAGACATTTGTTTTTTCAAGTGAGCTGTGAGGGGAAAAAAACATCTTATTTAGCAGCTGTTAGTGGTTCAAACAATTGTTTGCTTGAAAAGAGGGGATTCACACTTGTAATCACTCAAGTCTTAATTAGCATTTTTGCAAAAGGACAATATGGACTTTTTTTTTTTAATTAAGTTTCTGGGATAATTTTTTTGATCTTTTCACTTATTTTTATTTTTGTTCATCACTTTTTAAACTGTCCTCAGCTACTCATCTATAAGTCAGACTTATCATTTTGTCAATTTAACAAAGTTTAAAGCTGCCAGAAACTCAACATTTAAATCTTAACAGGCATTTGAGTGATAATCACTCAACGTTATTGATAGACCAGTTCAAGGTTGTAAGAAATATAGTTTTGCATTTAATACACACAATTACAGCCAAAAATAAACATTTTAATTAAAGTATGATACAGTCTATTTACAAGAAATGTAATTTCCTCTAAACTTGTTTTTGTGTATTTTCCACTGAAACTCAAGGTATGTGTGAAAGTCATTGAAAATATTTGTAATTCTATAAGTTTAAAAAAATGTCTTTATGTCACAGACATGAATGAAAAACTGTGTGAACGCCCCACATCAGCACTTTTAACTGGTTTTCTCAGTGTGTCTCTGCATGATGTGTAAATAAATTTACTATAATATGATCAGAGTAACCACAGATGAAGAGACCGACTCCAGATTGAGGAAGTCCTGCAAAACCAGTTGACACTTGACATCCTGGTCCCTTCCTCAACTGCTCTGAGGATACGTAACCCAGGTACAAACTTGTCCTGGTAGATGATCTTCCAACATTCTTTTAAAACTTCAAAAAGATGGAAAATACAAAATGTAATTCAAATGTATAACATGCAAGTTTTAGATGAATAGAGTTTGCACAGCTCCACTGGTAATCATCTGCTCTGAGAGAGAGTCTGACCTACGGTTCATCTTCCTCTTTAGGGATGAAATCTGACACCTTGTTTGAAATGCAAGGAAATATTTGAAAGCTCAGGGGAGGACTGAACTAGGTGGGACGCATTTGAATCCTCTGAATGAATGACAGACAAAGTCACCTTTGAGGAGGTGATCGGCGCGGTAGCACTCTCCGGTCATGGCATCTTTCACCATGTAGTCAGCGAATTTATCCACATGTCCCGACGTCCTGAACAGAGCCAACAGGTTAATATGTGCAAACTTACATTTGCACATTTGTACTTCGGTTTGTGCATGTTCTTGGAGTTTGTTGGCACCTACTTGAGGACAGCCTCTGGGGTCAGCATGGTGCAGTCTATCTCCAGGATCTGCTCCTCCTGGATGAAGTGCTGCCTCCACACCTGCAGGATGTTGTTCTTCAGGGCACAGCCCACGGGGCCGAAGTCATAAAGGCCGCTCACACCTGGAAGATAACTGGTGGTTAATCTGCACGTTGGAACATAATGGGGCAATATCTTCCTGTAAGTATGCATGCTCTGTCTGCACTCAAAACTGAAAATGTTGCTGGGTGGTTTTGCTTTTGCCTTCTACTTTACCTCCATATATGGCAAAAGCCTGATCGTAGAAGAATCTCCTCTTTAAGGTATCCTCCATCTTCACTCTGTCCACCGTGTCATCTTTGGGCTGCAAGGCTAGCTCCTACAAGTGAGGATTTAAAATAATATCAATTACATTTTTTTTTTAAAATACCAGAATCACATGCAAAGTAATTATTCTTACACTCAAAGGGAAAGTGGAACCGAAGAGTGACAGGAAAAGATTCTGACCATTGCTCAAGAATGTTCTTCCTGGCTTTGTTCAGAATTACATGCAAAGTAAATATTCCATTACTCAGATGGAAAGTGGAACCAAAGAGTGATGGGAAAAGATTCTGACCTTTGCTTCAAGAATCCTCTTCCGGGCTTTCAGCTCTGCAACAGCTCTGCTCAGATCCTGCTCTTTGGCGTTGTTTCCCTTCAACTGATGCACCAAGTCACCCTGCAGGAAAATACCAAAGACTTTATTTAATTATCACACAAAACCTCAGAGAAAAATGTACCTTGGATTTGTTTTATATTTCCATTTGTTCTAAAAAAAAAAAAGAACTTTAATTGTTGATTCATCCAGACCTGAACTCTATGCTGGAGTTGTAAAATTTATAAAAAATCAAATTCTGTTTTTTTTATTTATTCATAATATATTATAGCTATGTTATAAAGTGCAAAAAACAATCCTAATTAACGGTTTGGAGCATCAGCAGCCAGCAACTTTAAGTTTCACTTTAGTTTTGCCACGAGGCTCTAGTCATTGAAGAACAATTAAATGTGACACCTGTTGCAACAATGAAGCCAAACAACGTGAACATTCTGCACTGACATTGTTTTACACTTGTTTTGACTCTGACAGGCATAGACTGTGAAACCCTGTGCAATGCTGCCAAGACGCTAAAAATAAAATCGGCGATATAAACGTATCATTACATTATCCAATCAGACATATTTTGAAGCATATAATAAACTCTCCAATCAACACTTCCAATCGACTCAGTTGGCAGTGGATAAGTCGCTACATGCTAGTTATTGGAAGGGCGTCTAGTTTGGGTTTTTGCATCTTTAAACCTGGTTTAAAATGACAAAATATCTCACCTGTTTCCTCACAGCCTCCCTTAAAGGTGCCAGTACTTCTTCCATGTTGACGCTCTCTGCACCGCGCTCTTCCTGCAGTCAGCTGTTGATCTGCTCCGGACTCAACTGCCTTCACTTCCCTCTTCAGTGGTTTCTTCAAGCTGAGGAAAAATAAGGGGAGGCGCCTGTTTGTGTGCAGTCTGACGGATTAGATGATTTGTTTGAAACAAGGGCTTTCTGTTGCATCATCCATCCATCATCCTCAGACAAAATGTATTGTATTCTGCTGTATAATAAAGTGAGCAAATAGCACCTATTCAACCTATTTATGTAGAAATAACCTTTATTCATAGTCTAGATTCCTAATTCATCTGGCACCCAAGGTCTGGACCCAGAGCACTTACAAATTGTTTAGACCATTTGTGCACACAAAAGACATTATGGTAGACTAATATCATACTTAAAGACCCAGTCATTTGTTTATTTGTTTGGCTGAAACAATACAACTAGATTCTGACATTGGGCCCCTATACGCAATGCAAAAGCCACTGGCTTAATATATACTGTAAAGGTACTATACATTACTACTACCTAAACACATTTACACACTAGCCCTTGCAGCCCTGATAGTAGCACAGTTGTCAGCTAGCCTAGCCTTGAAATTGGAAAATAGCTGCAGTGATATGTAAAATAAAAAGTAAAAAATGAAAGGAATAAATGTCACTTTCTGTTTCAAGCTGAACACTCAATGTGTCTTCAAAATGTAATAAAAGTTCCATTAAACATTTTTAAATTCAATTAAACGCCTATAAAGAACTATACTTTTTGTGTTGCAAATGTACTTAATATTAAAGGTGCAGACACGTTATCACCTGTATGGAACATAATTGCAGCTAATTAGCTACCATATATATACACAAATAGCTGTATCACTGTACAACATTTTGGTTTCCTGTTACTTTTTATGGAAGCCAATTTCCACCAGCAAAAAACAAAAACAAATAGCGAATAAAAAGTTGGGTATGATAAAATAAGAAATAGGTTCAAGTATAAATTATGAAATAAAGTCAAGTCTGGCTGAGGGAAATTTCATTACATAGTAAGTCACAATTAATAGGAGCCCCGAAAGGTTTATGATGGGAACTATTTTTGTGTTCCCTTGCAATGACATTTGCATTCACCACCCAAAACTATAACCATGACCTTTAGGGGGCTTTGTAGAATAATGCAATAATAGAAACAATCGTCAGAATTATTAGACAGCAAATCCGAAATATAGGCGTATAAATCCAAATTACATTTCGTTATGAATTATTATGTATTATTATTAATTTAATGTAATTTTCGTTATCAGTTTAGTTTAGTTTCATTATTTATTTATTTTTACTGTTTTTGACGAATCTGCCGATGCGTCGTAAAGCGCTTGTGCCGGTCGTAGCGAAAGTGCTTGACCGGAGCGGAAGCTGCGTTCACTCATTTTCTCAGAGATTTCATCATTCTCTTCTCGCATTACGGCGGTTCATGCTTCGTAGCGCAGCATCAGCACTGCTGAGGACCAGCACTGAGATTTCCGCCTTCCGTCCGGTGTCTACGGTCCGGATCGTTCGGCAGGCGCTCCGCTACGCCCCCAAAAACAGGCCGTTTTCAACGTCGGTCTACTTGTGTAAGAAGAAAAAGCAAAGTCTGTGGCTGCACCTAGCGGAAGGACAAACCATGGACGGCAACATTGAAGTGATTCTCGCCCCTTTGCGGCTTGCAGTCAAAGAACAGGTAACACTAGTTATCTCATAATCTCTACTGATATGGACCAAGTCGGTTTGTTTGGGGAAAAATATATATTTTAGTGCCTCCTGTCACATTCAGCCTGTTAGCTTGTCAGGCTAACCGGCCGGCTAACTTGCTCACGAAGCTGTCAATGAAAGAGGACAGCCATTGCTTGCTAGCTAACGGCTAACGCTAGCTGGCTGTCACTTCTGCACCCTTTGCCACGTTTCAGTGCTGCTGCTGCTGATGCAGGCATTTGTGAGCAGGGTGGGGTTAAGAGAAAAGGCTATATACATGCTGCGACCAAAAAAAAAAAAAATGGCCGATTACTTTTGTAAACTGTCTCAGACCTGAGTTGAAATGTAGCCTCAAGGGTTTTCTTTATGCCACCTCTCTGTTTCAGGGGGAGCTTGTGCGCCAAATGAAACAGGATGGAGCTCCAGATGTGGATGTTACTAAAGCTGTGGCTGAACTGAAAGCAAGGAAGAGAACCCTGGAGGCCAAGGTGAGTGGATTTAATGAAATTAATTAAATCTGATTCATTTGTTTTAGTGACTCAAAAGCTCTGCCAAGCCTCAGAATGTGTTGTGGATAAAAGACACAATCATTACGATTGTAGATGTATTATTCACTACTACACTCTCTGTAATAACCTGGCTGTGCTGCAAGTATTGATGTACTTTCATTTAAATTTTGGGAAGTGTCCCAACACTTTTGTTCACTTATTGACCCACCGCGTTGACAAGCAGACTGGGGAATGGGTGCTGGCTCAAGTTTCAGGTGTTTGGTTCTGATATGAAATCAATGTAACGTAATGCTCTAAAGCCCAAAAGGCCACTTAGTGGCACTTAAAGCTTTGAACCACATCTCGTCGTTTTGTCTTGCTGATATGAATGTGTTCATCTCCTCATAAGATCGGTAAGAAATTAACCAAACATCTTTACAAAATATATCTTGTTCTCTTTTGGTGTTTTACGTTCATTAAGTGAGGATAACGTTAGAAACTGCTGCCTGGTGGTTCCTACGGTCGGCTCCAAAGTGCTAAACTGTGGGTTTTTGTCACATTGTTTAGATTGATTTTTAAAATTCCTAACACTAACTTTAACCCATCTACTGTTTTGTTTCGTCTTCTTTCCCCGGGGACATCAGGACAAATTAGCTGACTCCATGGTGAACGATGTCAATAACGGTAAACATATTTGCATTACAGGAGCTGTCATTGCAACCCAAAGATGACATAGTCGACAGAACAAAGATGGAGGATACCCTCAAGAGGCGATTCTTTTACGACCAGGCCTTTGCCATCTATGGAGGTAAGACTTTGAAAGCTAACGTTAAAGGAAATCTAGGTTTCGGATTGGTGCTTATATCATCGTACACGCAGTCTTTAAGCACTCTGTTACCATGCAGTAATGCTCCTCAGGTGTGAGCGGCCTGTATGACTTCGGCCCCGTGGGCTGTGCCCTGAAGAACAACATCCTGCAGGCCTGGAGGCATCACTTCATCCAGGAGGAGCAGATCCTGGAGATAGACTGCACCATGCTGACCCCAGAGAATGTCCTCAAGTAGGTGTCCCTAATGCCTGTTTTCTATGGGTGTTTACTAGTATTCTGTTATCGCTTATGTTTATCTAATTAATGATAATGTTAGAAACTGCTGAAGAAAGTATCTCAAGGTTCCTAGCTGCCACTATAGCAGCCTCCCATAGCCTGGCTGCAGATATATTGATTGGATCAGAAGTTTTATTTTGTTCACTTATTTAGGACATCAGGACATGTGGACAAATTTGCTGACTACATGGTGAAAGATGTCAAGAATGGCGAATGCTTCAGGGCCGACCACCTCCTCAAAGGTAAGCATTTTGTCCTCCTTGCCTGTGTATATTTAGAGACTTGGCTTCCACTATAGTGTAAGCTAAAGATTAGTCATCCTAAAAACAACCCCAGCAGAGGTCTTTGTAAGCTTCTCACCTGCATTATTCATGAGACTCTGCAGACGGTGCGATGGATGCGGTCCAAACTTGTGTTGTCAGTAGCTTCTGCTGGCTGACCAAGCTTTGAGTATCACTGTTGTGCCTGAGGGAGAATGGAAGTGGCTGGACCAGCAGAAATCACACGGGGCTTTCAAAGCAATGCAAGCTGCTAGAATCACAGAGGCTGGAGCTGGGCCAAAAAAGCCAGCAGG